AGAAGTCAACCGTCTGGACTGCTTAAGATATGAGCTATCCACAGCAATCCCTGGAAGCATCTTAGCATTACAAAATACTATAATAGAGACTGAGGTTCTCATCTTGCTTTTTATTCCTGTCTAACCATAGTATTTCATTTTACACAAAAATAATGTACTAAAAGTTAAAAAGACAAAAATTACATGTAAAAGCAGAATTCTACAACTACCAATATACATGTATAATACTGGCCAATCTTTCCAAATGTCTATTTCAAATAAAGGACTTTGTATATATTGCTTTTGCATTTATTAAAAAATGACCATTTTCCAAGTTCTTATCACATAAAGGGGAACAAGGAATGTGTAGAATGTAATTAATGAAATCCTTCCTTATTGCAAGCTAACCTATTTTTCACTTTTACACACAGCACTGCAAGGAACACCACTCTGCATACATTTTTTTCTCTATTTTGGATTATTTACTTAGGATAGTATCCCAGAAATGAGATTAGTGGGTCAAAGGGTATGAATATATTACCAAGCTGCATTCCATTCCATACTCCACCAACACCACAAGAATATACTCATTTCATGACAACAACTTTATCTTAGGCATTGGTTAAACTTATAATCTAGTGATTCAAAAGTTGTGAAATAGCACCTAATTTTAAAATGCTAAGGAAAACAATTAACAGAATAATGCACCATTTGTCCATATGCTCCTTCAGCATTTATCTTTATATGACTTTTCATAAGTCATTGAGCTTTCTAAGACTTTTGTTTGTACATCTCCAAAATAACAAGACTGCATCAATTTCACCAGTACTCAGGGCAATGAAAACTGAAGAAAGTGGAAGTATTTCTGACACACGAGATTGGCAAAATTTCAACACTGAGGTTTCAATGACAGATTACAGAGACTGGGCAGTCTCTAATATCACTGTGGGTGTGTGCATCTGAAAGTAATCTGACAGTGTCTATTAAAATTATTATTAAGTATATGTACTCCTTAACCCAGAAATCCAACTTTTAAGACTATCCTACAGAAAAAAGGGCAACAATAAGAAAGAACATTTTATTACAGGATGGTTTATAATGACAAACCAGAAAACCAGAACCACGTGAAAGCCCATCAATATGGGAATGGTTGAATAAGTAGTAGTATATCCACAACATGGAATATTAAGTAGGAATTGGAGCCAGTGTATAAATTTAGAACAATATTCATGATATATTGACATGTAAGAAAGCAAGGTGCTAGGTGATGATCACATTATAACTTTAATTTTTAAAGGAAAAACCTCTTTATGTATTATAAGCATCTGTGTTTGTCACTACAGAGAAAGGCACAGAAGACCTTTCTCATACGGCAAACTAATAACAATAATTTCTTCAGATGGGGGAAGGAGAAATTATTCTCTTCATATTCCTCTGTATTATTTGACTTACTACTGTTTGCTCATTGTAATTTTAAAATTCCCATAGATAGCAGGGATTTTTTTTAAAGCAAAATTGTACTAGATATCTCTTAATTTCCAGTTAACTCCCAAAGCATATAATTCCATGAAATGAGGTTCACAAAGAGGTCACTGAATCTTTAATGAATGGTTAAATTATGTTCAATGGCCACAAGAGTATGTAATATAGTTTTGTAAGGTTTATAGCAAACATAGTTAATACTCTTTTTTTTTTTTTTTTGAGACAGAGTCTCATTCTTTCACCCAGGCTGGAGTGCAGTGGTGCAAGACTGGCTCACTGCAGCCTCTGCCTCTCAGGTTGAAGCAATTCTCCTGCCTCAGCCTCCCGAGTAGCTGGGACTACAGGCACACACCACCACACCTGGCTAATTTTTGTATTTTTACTAGAGACAGGGTTTCGCCATGCTGGCCAGGCTGGTTTCAAACTCCTGACCTCAAGTAATCCACCCGCCATAGCCTCCCAAAATGCTGGGATTACAGGGGTGAGCCAGCGTGCCCAGTCTAATACTTTTTAAAGTGTTGAAACAAAGGGGTAAGCAGGAAAAAAAAAAATTAACTCATGCTAAATACCTCAGCACCACTATCCCCAAATTCTGGATAAATGAAACACTGTATTAGTCAAATCACTGAGCTCTGCGAACAATTCCACCAAATGTGTGTGAGAATGTACAGTGAACTCTTCTCCCACACACTCCTAGAGTCATTCTAGCAAACAGCAACAACCAAAAGAAAAGAATTCCAATAAGTACTCAAAGAGCAAGAATCTTACTAATCTCAATTTCCTGTCTAAAATAGGAGGCCAGGCGCGGCGGCTCATACCTGTAATCCCAGCACTTTGGGAGGCCAAGGTGGGCAGATCCCTTAAGCCCAGAAGTAAAAGACGAGTCTGGGCAACATGGTGAACTCATTTCTACAAAAAATACAAACATCAGCTAGGTGTGGTGGCGCACACCTGTAGTCCCAACTATTTGTGAGGCTGAGGCAGGAGGACTGCTTGAGTCTGAGAGGTAAAGGATACGGTGAGCCATGATCACCCCATCCAACTCCAGCCTGGGAGACGGAGCAAGATTCTGTCTCATAGAGAGGGGAAAAAAAAAAAAAGGAAAAATCACTAAAAAGCATTCTAGCTCGTCTCCTCTCTAAGGAAGATCTTCTGATCAAGAAGGAAAGGCATTTTCGGAGGGACAGGCCCATCCTTTCAATGTATCTAGCTAAGCTCAACAGTTTATTCAATGTGAGTTACATTTCTTAAACTTTGGCCCTTATGGACTAGAACTATTCACACAAAGTTTAAAAGGACACATTATCAATGTAAGAACTTAAACATTCATGAGTAAGAGCAATATTCACATGTACACCCAGCTTAGCGGAAATGTCATCGTTCAAATCAGTCACTAGCCACCACAGTAAGGTGGGTTTTTTAAATATTATCATCACTTTTGAAATTAGCCAGGAAAAAAAAAAAAAAAAAAAATCAAACCTTAAACACTGCTCAATTAAATAACTGAAAAGAGTCCCATTTTTAAACATACCATGTCTACAATCTTCATCAGCTTGCACATAGTTTTTCTGCAAAATAAAAGATACAAGAAAAAATTAAGTAGTTCAAGAGCTGCTTTTAACAGAGGTGTTATCAAAGGGAAACTTGGCTTTGTTTCAAAGTTTAATTATTAATGTAAACTTAATATTCACAGAGCAAAGCTAACACATGTGCTCTCTGAGGATTACAGGGCACTCTACAAATAAACATCATAGTATACTTCCTAGTCCATGGACTTCCACCCCTACTTCTCACCTTCTCCAACTCACCAGCACCTCCTTCTCACCAGCACCTAACTCACCAGCACCTCCTTCTCAACCAACAGCTTTACTGAGAAAACTGAAGCCACAGAAGAAAATTTTCAGACTGTCACCACCCTGTCTACCCACTTCCCAGCATACACTCTGTCTTCCTTCTACCTGTTAGCAGACGTACTCCCGTGCTCCCTTCTGAAGTCAACCTATGCCTGTGCAGATCCACTCAGCTGCCTACGCAGGCACAGCACTCCAGCAAGCCTCCTCGACTTGTCCTACATCATTAATTTTTTGCCTTTGATTGCTTAATTTCTATACAGAAATACGGTTATTCTCCCATCTAAAAAAATACTTCCCTTGACTTTACCTCTCCCACTAGCTACCATTCCTTTTTCTTTTCTGTTTGCTTTTCCTTTCTCTTTTTTTTCTTTGGTGTCTCTTCATGGCAAAACTCCTCAAGGGTTGTCTATGTTGATGTATTTCCATTCCTTTCCCCGATTCACTCCTAAGCCCTCTTTTAAGCAGACTTTTACCCACTACTCCAAGGAAGCCACTCTCATGAGATCACCAGTGACCTCCACTGCATCCACATGGACCCACACGGATTCACATGCCCCCACTCAGACACAATCTCATGGCTTTATTGGCAGCTGCTGACACCATTCAACATCTTCTCACTTGGGCACACTTCCTTCCTTCATGCGGCCACCAGGACTCCTTACTCTCACACTTTCCCCTTTCCTCATGGCTGCTCTTTAGGTTGCTTTGCTGATTCCTGCCCTGCTCCTCAACCTCTTGACGCTGTAGCAGCCCAAGACTCGGCCCTCAGTCCTCGCCTCTTCTCTATGATGCTCATTCCCTCCGTGATTCTACGCAGGCTCAAGACATCACACAGCACTTCTGTCCCACACTCTTCAATGACTCTCTCTCCCAAAGTCCATTCGTGCATATCAGACAGCTTACTCAGTGTCTTCAGCTGGGTGTCTGAATGACATCTCAAACTTGGTATGTCCAAAACTGAACTCCCACCTTCTCCCACAAAACCTTCTCCCCAGCTGTAGCCTTCTAACCCCAGTTGAAGGAAACACCATTCTTCCAATTGTTCAGACAAAAACAATCGAGGTAAGTAACTGCAACTGCTCCCCCTCATTCCCTGCATTCAATACATGAGGAAACCTGATTGCTCCTACTTTCAATGTATAAACCAGAACCTAGCTACTTCTCACTATCTCCACTGCCACCACTTTGATCTGAGCCACTCCGTCCTGGATTATTCTAATAGTCTCCAACCTACTCTCCTTGCATCAACGCTTATCCCTTTACAGTTTATTCTCCGCACAGAAGTCAAATAATTCCCGTTGAATTAGATCACGTCAATCCTCTGCCCAAAGCCCTGCAAAACCTCCCCAACTCACACAGAATAAAAACCAAAGTCCTTTCCACAAGCCAGCAGGCCCCACAGGCTTTGGTCCTCCCACCTCTCCACCGTGAGCACTCTACTCGGGCCACACTAACTCCTAGCTTCTCCTCAAGCACAGCAGGCAATGTTCTGCTACTGGGTCTGTTTCCGTTGCCTGCAATGCTCTTCCTCCAGATTTACTCATGGCTCACCCACTTGCCTCCAGTTATCACCTTTGCAATAAGGCCTGCCCTGACGACTCTATTTAAAATTGTAACCCCATCTCTAATCCCAATACTCCCAATCTCCCCTGCCCTGTTCTCCTTTATTCATGCAGTTACTACCTTTTAACAATCTATGGTGCTTATTTTTTTTTTTGAGACCAAGTTTCGCTCGTTACCCAGGCTGGAGTGCAATGGCGCGATCTCAGCTCACCGCAACCTCCGCCTCCCGGGTTCAGGCAATTCTCCTGCCCCAGCCTCCTGAGTAGCTGGGATTACAGGCACGCGCCACCATGCCCAGCTAATTTTTTGTATTTTTAGTAGAGACGGGGTTTCACCATGTTGACCAGGATGGCCTCGATCTCTTGACCTCGTGATCCACCCACCTCGGCCTCCCAAAGTGCTGGGATTACAGGCTTGAGCCACCGCGCCCGGCCGGTGCTTATTTTTTATGTCTATTGTTTATTTTCTGTTCCCCTACTAGAAAAAGTATCATAAAGAAAGTATCTTTCTCTTTCATCAATATATATAACAAGAACTTAGAATAGTGTTTAGTACACAGGACATACTCAATTAATACTTTTTGAGTGAGTGCATAATCCAAAATGCCCTACAGTAGTACAATTTTCAAGGTTCAAAAGCATAGTTACCTTGCCATCAAAGATATTCAGCAATCAGCAGCCACTTCACTCACATCTCTTTGGCCCAGAATTAGCTATTTGTGTAGTCCCCACTCAATGAAAAAGGCCATTTTACATAGTTCAGCACTGGCTTATTGACGGTGTTTACTCACCAGTTGCAAAAATGAGGCAATTCTGTAAAGAAGACTCTCGATTTTGATGCGTTCTATTTCCAATGGACAAGGCCCTGTGAAGTCTGCCATGGAGTACTGGCCAAGAGAAAGAAGGGCCTCTGTGCAGTGCTTGAGGGCCATTTCATAGTCCTGCCTCTTCAGTGATTCACATGCTTGTTCACATGACTTTTCAGCTCTTCTGTCTTCCATGACTCAGGGACAAAAATCCTACAGACAGAGAGAAAGAACAAGAGAAGGTTTTAAAAACTTATTAATTATAAATTCTAGCCCCATTCCTATCTCAGCTGGCTTAATTATCTATCTGAATACTCTCAGCTAGCCTTTTGATCAAGGTCACAGCTAAGCAGCAGCTATTGATGCTACAAAATCTATACTTCTCTTTGATATTGTATGAAGTCTTTACTAAGATTCAGGCAAAATGTCAATCATAAACCAGGATCATACCAACAATATATTAAATTTATAAATGAAATATGCCTGTGAATACTGCAAAGTACACAACAAACCATAAAAAGGATTCCCTTTTTTAACCAAACGGATAAACTTTTTACATCCAAACCTCCAAATTTCAGTTTCCTAATTTCAGTCTCACAGTTCTATGACCATGACTGCAGAAAACCAAAATCTATACCATGCAGGATTCTTTCAAACCACCAATTAAAAAACTGGTTGGAACTGTTTGAACTGTCCATTAATTCAACTCAACAAACATTTCTCAAGGGCCAGGCCCTGTGCTAGCAGCAATGAATGCAAAGATGAGGCATGTCATCACTGCTTTCAAGAAACTCAGACTCTAGCAAGAGAGGCAAAGCACAAATGAACAATTACAAAAAAAGACTTATTCCATCTGCCTAAAGGCATGAGCTGATTGAAAAGGTGAAAAGGAGTTCAACACACAGATGATAGGGAGGGCAAATGCGAGTTTTTCAGAGAGAAGAGTTCAAGTGAAATCACCAAGGGGAAAAAATACACAGCTTAAACTCAAGGTACATTAGAAGAGTAAGAGAGGCTAAGAATGACCTCAAATGTCACGACAAGAAGCTAGGGTTTTATTCCATAGGCAATGCAGCATGATGAAATGTTTTTAAATAAGGAAGGAATCTATCAAATATAAGTCCTACCAGCTCTATAAAGAACTGGTCAGAAGTAGAAAAAACCACAGGCTTGCCACAGGTGAAGAAATGGCAAGCACTGCCATTAGTTAAGAGATCACCAAAATAGTCCAAGTAAGAAATAGTGGGAGGTTACACATTGTTTCTCCCCCCAGCTATATCACTCATGGCAGGAGCAGAAAACTTGGACAGAGAAGACCTAACTCCTTCGACCTGACATTAACAATACTGCTCCCAACAGTCACTTTTGCTGACCATCTCTGTCAATTTACAGATTGCTTTTTGTGCCTGCATCCCCCTTCTCTCTCTCCTGCTCTTCCCTACCTTCCACCTTAACCAGCTGGCCTCACCGTACTTCTTTGTCCCTTCTGCCTGCCTCCAGCCTACATGTTTTCTGCCAGCCTTCCTGGCTTTGATAATGACACACGGCTCTGCCCCCTCCTAGCTGTGCTGTAGCCATCTGCTGTCAATAAACTGCAGTACAAGACGGGGGGGGGGGAGTGCAGCCCATAGAGAGTGGCAGGAGGCAAGATGACAGACATCTGTCCAAGCCCCTTCAGCTTTTGAGCTTCGTGGTCTACCAAAACTGTAGAAATAGCTAAGCAATGAGATCAGAAGTGTTGAAAAAGGACTTCAACAGTATTTGTCAGCATTTGTTCAATACTGATGATTTATACATGTGGTACAATATAATATTCTCTACTTTTCTCAGTTTGAATTTTTATTTTAACACTTTTCTGTCTCACTCTGTTACCCAGGCTCTAGTGGAGTGGCACAATCACCGCTTACTACAGCCTCAACATGCCAGGTTCAAGGGATCCTCCTAAATCAGTATCTCAAGTAGCTGGAACTACAGGCATGTACCACCATGTCCAGTGAAATTGTATGTATGTATGTACGTATTTGTAGAGATAGGGTCTCCCTACATTACCCAGGCTGGTCTCAAATTCCTGGGCTGAAGTGATCCTCCTGCCTCAGCCTCCCAGTGCTAGGATTACAGGAGACAGCCACTGCACCAAGCCTAAATTAACACTTTTAATATAAAAAAAGAAATCTGTGTTATTAAGATAACCCCCCCCCAAAAAAAAAAGAGTACTGTGTCCTTGGTCTTTACCTGGTTTCCCTTCAAACTCTCTCAGCTTTCCTTTGGGGGACTGTAACTCCGAGTTTAGCTGAAGGGGATTTAAATATTTAAGTCATAGTTGGTATGTATGCCTTTCATACAAACATATATTGATTTGGGTGAAATCAATTATTCATCAAAGTCAAAAATAATGTCTGTATTACTACAGCAATGTTGCCCATTAGACAAAGAGTGGTATTACAAAATAATTACTATCTGATGATATAGTCCAGATATAAAATATCAATGCTATTAACATTTTGGGTGCAGTAATTTTTTGCTGTGGGCCATTATGTGCATTGTAGGTTATTTAGCAGTCAGTACCCCTAGTCCCTACCAATAGATGCCAGTAGCACATCCCCTGACTTGTAACAACCAAATATATCTCCAGTAACTGTCCGGAGAGGGCAAAATCAGCTCTAGTTGAGAACTACTAATAAAGACAAGCATGCACTGCTTGCCAGATAACAGCAATAACCAGAGGCCCTAGAATTAGCAAATCTTCCCTACAGAACTCCCAGCCCTAGACATACAGAGAATCCCTGCCCTTCTTGTACTGTGTCACTCTGTAAGGTTGGTGCTTGCCAACCCCACAAAGTGACACATCTAGACAACTAATACAAAAAGAAGTAGTAAGAAAAGCAAAGCTAATAACATACCAGATAAAATCTTTCTTAGGAATGAGTGTAGCACAGTGATCCAGTGCACAGAGTGGGAACCAGAGGACCTGTGTTCAGAATTCACCAGCTGCACCACTCTCCAGCTGCATGGCCTGGGGCAAGTGGCTTAACATGGATTATTTCAACTTGCTCACCTCTAAACTGGGAAGACAACTAATACCTACCTCCTAGGGTTACTGTAAGGATTAAGTGAAATAATACGTATAAAGTACTTAAAGAAATGCCTGGGACATTAAGTGCTCAGTAAGTGTTAGCTACTATTATGTCTCTAAAATTCCTTATTTTTGCTTTATATAAAGTTTTTTTTTTTTTTTTTTTTTTTTAAAGAGACAGAGTCTTGCTGTGCAGCCCATGCTGGAGTGTAGTGGTGCAATCATAGCTCACTGCAGACTCAAACTCCAGAATGATCCTCCTGCCTCAGCCTCCCAAGAAGCTGGAACTATAGATGCATGCCACCACACCCGACTAATTTTCTTTATTTTTTGTAGAGACAGGGTCTTGCTATGTTGTTTACCCTAGTCTTAAACTCTTGGCCTCAAAAGATCATCCCCCTTTGGCCTCCCAAGTGCTGGGATAACAGGCATGAGCCACCACACCCAGCCTATATAAAGCTGAAAGCACTTTACTGATCTCAACATATAATACGTATACAAAATAAAGTATTATTCTATGTAATTACTTTACCTACTTGAAAGAGGAATTATTTTCACCTATTTTCTCCATCTCAATACACTGGTAATGATTACGCAAAGAATAGCCATTGGAGAAATAAGTGTATCTGCAAGTCACTGATAAGGACTAGCTAAACCCTAAATCTGGCTATGAGGGATGATCACAAAGACCACTATCAACATCAATCACCAAACACATTAGCCAGAGAGATCTCGATAACATTAATATGTAAGTAGATATTAAGGGCTGAACTATGAATTTCAGGAGCTTTGAGAGGAAATGACTCAATTTATGACCCAGATGCTTTCCTCTGAAGTGGATAGCTATCCCAATTACCTTTGTTAATCAAGTCCCAATAACTAGTTTCCAAGGTCTACCTGAATCATAGTAGGGTCACTTAGCTATAGTGTGGATCTCAATACAACGCATGCTCTGTTCAGTTGCTTTTTCGGGTTTGTCAGAAAACAGCATGACTTACTATACTCACTCCTTCTGAAGAAGCTAAAGTGGTTTCTCAAACATAAAAGCAAAACTGTCAAAGTCAAAATGAGAAAACATCTCAGGCCATGCTAAAATGAACTATGGATAATATGCCGTGAGAGATCTAGGAGGACTTCTAAACGAGGCCAGCTCCCAGATACACTTCAAGAGTACAGTTGACATCCCTGTCTAGAACACATCGCACATCTGTATCTATAGTACAAGATCCTGCTTCCTGAACATAACAGCCAGATCCAAGGGCAGATACTAAGTTGGGTCTCTAAGGATCTTTCCCATGGGAACAGAGTAGCCCAGGGAATGGAAGTTACTGCCACTGAAGCTGAGTCACATTAAGCACACCAGTGTAGGAAAAACACCACATTCACCCATTGCTAAGGTTCACCCCACCTCTCTTGACTCTTGCTCTTCCTGTTTAAAATTATCCAAACTTTTATCAAAAGAACATAAAACACAAGGAACATTTACTTGGAGGATGTGACTTCACAGGCAAGAAAGCTGAAATCAGAAACCAAGACTCTAACCCAAATCCACTAAGTCCTCTGATCTGCTGCTGGCCTATAAAAAGATACTAATACCATGCAATGAACATTAGTTGTTTTGCCAACAAATACCCATTCCCTTTCCTGGTAATAAAAGCCCACAATTTCCCTTTGAGAATTCACCTCTCCCCAACTCTTAGACCATGTGGTTCCTGAAGAGCTAACTCCTCCAGGGATGCAGGATGGCATGTGACACTAACTGGCCAATCCGAGCCTCATAGCCCTGAGCACAGGGATTGGCTCAGGGTAGGACATATGACCCTATAAGAGCCAATGAGACACTGTGAGACTTGCTGAGGCTTCTGGGAAAGAAACTGATGCTCCTTCCAGCTGAATCTAAATTCTGAGAAGCCAAGGGGGGTTGAATGTACTGCAGCCATTTTTCTTACAGTGTCAGCAACTGAAGTCTATACAGGAAAAAGCACAACTGATTCACAGGGAGAAACTGAGTCCTGATGACATCACCTGACCCTGAATCCAGCTCTGGCTAGTGGTGCCTGGACTTCAAAGTTAGGTAAGCCAAGAAATTTTTTTCTAGCTTAAGTCAGTTTAGGCTGAAATTTCAGGCAGTTGGAACCAA